TCACAAGAATAAAAACAAGAGATTTACAAACTCTAAACAAAAAACTCTCAAACACTCCACAACTCTTTCTTGGTTGTGTTTCAACACTTTCAAGGTTGATTGATCACTCTCAAGGATGATTTGAATGAATGAAATATGAAGCCTATTTATAGGCAAGAAGTAGCACACCTCCATTGACTACATGTGTGTGAATGAGAAGGGTTGGTGAGGTGTGAAGGGCTAGCCATTGATGAAGTCTTCAAACTTGTTCTTCCATGGTGTGCTTGAATATTTGGTGAAGACTTATGGTTGTTGGGAGATTGTACATTGTTGACTTGTTCATGCATGGAACTTTCAGTTAGTTGTTCGAGCTCAACTCATTCGTTCAAGTACGAGCCAAGCCCGAGCATTCACAAGTCGAAGCGAGTTGTATTCATAGACAACTCGATTTGAATAAAGAGTTGAATCTTATGCTCCTGGCCTAGTGCCTACACAAGATGATCACACACCATGAAGAAATCTAAAAAAGACTCAAAATTTTCCAAACATTTCTCATTAATACAATTGATATTGCCACAAAAAAAAAAAGAAGGTCCCCTTCATCCCCAGCCAAATCCATTTAAATCCAACTCCCTGCAACTAAAATGATCTCCATCACTTTCATCCTCTGTGTTGAGATCCAATCTTGTCGAAAAATCCAGCATTTTCTTCTTCATCTCCATTTTCATCATCTTCTTCTGATCACAACCTAAGCTCATCGACAAATTTTCCGAACTCTGTTCCGAAAAGAACCCTCTATCCACTTTATCTTTATCGTTATTATTATTATTGTTGTTGTTATTTCTTGCCTCTAAATTTGCTCCAAAACTAACTGCTTTTAAACGGGCCGAATTCTTGTAAAGCTCGTTTTCTCTTAGGGGATTTTCGCATGACGAGGTTAAACAGCTGTCAGTCGAGCAATCCGCGTGCTGATGTATCGTTAGCTTCTGCGGAAGGTACAAACCCGAAACATCTTTCATTCCGGAAAATTCCATGTTGAGGCATTGAGTGGATACTTTGGACACTACGTCCGATATTTGGACCTTGGAAGCTTCTAGATTTTGTCCACCGAGTGTTTCTTGTGCTCTCTCGAGCACCGATTGTAAGTATTTTCCCTGTGCCTCTATACGAAGCTGCAAATGCCGCTGCACCTAATGAGATCGCAAAAGATGATCATCGGTTTTTGACCGGGTAAAAAAAAAACAGTTTCAGGGGTGGTAATTTAGATTTTTGGTCACTTTTTACTAATTTCAGACGAAAATTTACCTCAAGCTGTTCATGTAGCCTTCGTTGAACTTCGATTTGCATTTGTATGGCTTCACCCAAATGCATGTTTCTGATGCAAAACAGCAACAAGAAATAAAGATTAATAACACAAACACAAAATGTTCGGAAGATTCTAATTTCTATATTCGTACTTATTCAGTAAATTGTTTGTATTTTGATTGCTGATTTGGGTTCTGTTTGCTCCATGCATTCTTTCTTCAGTGGCTGCAAAACAGTTTTGAACACGGTTAGGCGATTAATTAGCAACGTACTTAATTAATATCGAAACATTCGTATTTGTTTATAGTTTTGACATGATATAAATTAAAACTATATGTTACGTTGAAGTATAAGATTTTTCGTACCGATACTTTTGTTGCTCCCATTATTGCCTGGTCCATGGATGATGTTTTTACTGAGCCTGTATTTCTGCATATCAAAGGAAAAAAAACAAGAAAATCTGATTATATTTCAAGCAGAATTTTCGAGTTATATATATCATATATGCGTCTAATTTACGAGAATAATTTACCTGAAGATGACTTTTCAAATGATACAATGTTAGTCCTTGAATTCCCATAATTTTCAAGACCGATTTCGGCGTAGCCTCTGTTATAAAAAATTACAAGTTATCCGAATAAGCCTAATTTCATTAATGAATTATTCGTTGCTTTAAATTTTGCGCGCATTTCTTACTCTCGGTTCCACCAAGTTGATTCACTGCTTCTATGAAGCGTTGGTGAAGATCAGGTGTCCACTTGAGCCTCGGTTTAGTGTCAGTCGAGAGCACGAGACCCGAGTCGTTATTAATATTGCCTTGCAAGAACAAATTTCTCTCTGCTGGCTGACTAAGACTAATAGACATTCTAGCTGTGGATTGTATAATGTTGTTATTCTCTTGATGGCTTTGGTTATGATACATATTGCCTTAATAGAATGATTTCGCGAATGAAGCTCGATCGTGTTAAGGCAACGTATTTATAAACACACGAATTCGTAGATTTTTCCTTGTATTTTTCTGTTTCCATTCTCAGACAGCTGCAAGAATATTCTCCTCTTCTTCACTTATGACTTTGATGGAATTGGAAAAAATTTAACACCTTAAAAGCTAATGTTACGACCAATAACTCAAAACTCAGTTCACCATCAAGCCCAACATACAAGCCTAAACGGGATTTCATTTTAAAACCAATTGGCGGTAGAAGGAGTAGTCCACCAAACTTATATATTGGACTTGTAACCTTTAATTTTTTCCGATATGTGATTGAGTTTGCACCCGTTACAGAATATGTTATTTTTTTCCAAGCTATGGGAACCTTATTCCTGGAAGTAATGGCAGAATATATTATTTTTTTCCAAGCTCTGATGTTGATTTGAGAAGCCACTGTCTATGATGATATGAAGAAAAAGCATTTTTATTTTATATTTTTTATTTTCTAGCTTTTTTTTTTTTTTTTTTTTTTT